CATACATACATACATACATACATACATACATACATACATACATACATACATACATACATACATACATACATACATACATACATACATACAAACATACATACATACATACATACATACATACATACATACATACATACGTAGATAGATAGATCAATGAATAGACAGCCATATAGATAGCTAACTAGTTAGATAGATAAATAGATAGATAGTTAGATAGATAAATAGATAGATAGATAAGTAGGTAGGTAGATAGACAGATAGATATTATTTTTTGATATAAAATTAAATAAAAAGAAAAATGTAAATTCCTTGTATAGCTAGTCTTGCTAGTTTCCTCATATGAGAGATATATAGAGAAAATCTTTGGAAATTATATATTCAAAATAGAATGGAGTATCGAATTATGTATCGCAAGTATTTACCTAGAGCGTCTAGATAGGAGTATTTAGGGTATCTATCTTTCGCGGTAGTATGAGGCAAACCTGAATCGTTTAGTGAAACTCTTTGATTGGCGTTTAGTCAGGTAACGATCGCATTATATTCTACAATAATTAGGCTCACAATGGTAATATAAGCTAGGATGTGCGGGTGGTTAACGTGACGTCACGTGCTATCTATTGTGGTTTGCGATAGTTTCTGCATAAAACCCCAGTAGTCGCGAAAGAAAACGCGTACCTAAATATGACAGGCAGGGATTCAGATTAGTTGTTTTGGTTCTCTGCCGGGGCGAAAATAGAAAATGTGGGCGAGTTGCATGACGTCATTCACCACTCTCAGAATACGGATTATAACAGGGCAATTTAAATAGGAAAGTACACTAACTTTGGGTTGTAACACTGAAACCAGTCTATTTGTTGTTATTTTATGCACAGCAGGTATATTTCATTGGCTGTATTGGTGTTATCTAAAATATCTTGAAATGTTATTATCCTGAATATCCCAGCATAGGATAAACGTTTTTACTGGTTAGCAGTTAGTATACGAGGGATGACACGGTTGACATTTATTACATATTTATTAAATTAATCTGCAGGAATTTTACTAATTAATATTAAAACACAACTCTTAGGCAGATGATATACGTGCTCTGTCTCAGGTACACCTCTCTCAGTAACCTCGCTTTCACCTTAGCAAGTGGCGTCATCGTGTGGCAATAAATGTCACAAATAGCCATTACGATGTAAGTGAATCTACTATACGTTATCTGATCGCGGATACGACATTATAGGTCTCGAAAACTATTACGCATGAGCTGGTAAATGGCATCAACGTGACAGTGTACTACAGTATGCTGCGGGAAGCATACCACACACTGTGCTATATACGTGGCATATGTTGCGTTCACTCAACGACGAGAGGTGTACTAGAGCTATAATATCACAAACTGCATGGTTCACTGAGAAGTTTTCACGCAGAAAGACGAAAGGTAACGGGCATCAGCACGAAGCTCACCGTGTGCGGAGGCACAGGTTCAATTGGCGTTTAACATATATGATTAGTGTACGGATAAACAAGGCGCGCGGCGTAGAACGCGCTTTTATGAAATGATCTTTTGATAAAAAAAAAATCCCAGCGAGATGGGGTGCCGACTACGCCCTAGTCATGGCTACCTGTAACCACTCGCCCTCCACCCTATCCGGCGAACAAATCCGACCGCATCTTTTCCAGAGTCGGCGTTTCCAAAAGCTTTCCCCGACACGCGACATATGCCAACTACAGTCACGACAATTGTCTTTGCTGATATGAGCTTATATAGTAGTAATTGATATGACAATTGGCGCGTGATAGCAAACTCATATACATGCATCCCGGCTAGTATAAAATGGAAACGATTCTTTTTGGGATGCAGAATTGGACCATGTTAATTATCCGACAGCTGAAAAATACCGGATGAAATTTCCATGAATCGTGAATAGAAGGCAACCGGGACGTAGAAAACCCTAAATTATTATTTAACCGGAAAGTGAGAAGTGGGATATTTTTTACCCTGGAAACTGAACTCGATCTCCACCTCCGTATCCCCGGTGATATAATGAAACCACAAAAATAATTGTTAATGAGCTAAAAAATAAGGAGAAGCATAAGAATAAGAGGGATAAGGTTCGTAACTGCAACATAGTACAGCATAGGACCGGATAATCAGTTTAGAAATAATATCTAAATACTATCTTATCAACGCTTATTTGAACAGCTGCTGAAAAAAATTACCGAACTGCTATATATATATATATACAATCAAGAGAACACTGCATATAATATACATAAATATACATTACATCAGGAGCGTATAATGACAAATATCTTGTCATTATTGTAACAAAAATTTATTACTGTCATTACTGTGACAAGTCATTACTGTGACAAAGTCATTACTGTGACAAGTCATTACTGTGACAAGTCATTACTGTGACAAAAATTTGTCATTATACGCTCCTGATTACATATATAACACGTAAAGAATAATAATACATTTATAATAATTAATGATCGAGATTATAGGTTATGAATATGCGAGAATACGCCCTAAACATCAAACATGCGAAACCCCCATTTCAAGGTCGCATTGCCAAATTTCATTGGTCAAAGTCTCAGATACACTAATGCCAACAGCGGTATGGTGTACGGTTTGTTTTGTCAATTTAGTCCAACCATATGTCGGTTTACAACCGTACACACACCATATTTCCGCCAACCATACACATTGTAACGCCACCAACATGATATTTATAAAAACCTTATCTTTCTTTACAGTAACACGTGTGCATATTTCCTACCAACAGGTGCGCGCGCCAATGAACCACAATTCCCCCACACTAGTTTGCTAAATCATACTATAGTAGTTGGTCAGCGAACGATACAAGTAGTTTGCAGAAACATAGTTTTCCGCGCGCAGTGTACAACCTTTGACCTACGTACGTGGAGCAATAACGTAGCCTCGGGCGCATATGGCGGCCGCCGATTCCGAACCCTCCAAGGGCCACCGCTCCTATTGAGCACACTGGCGCATTGCAGTCGCACACATGCAGCCGATAACCCCTCCACCCCACCACCACCATGCGCTCTTAAGCTATAGGCCGTAGGAAAGTGTACTAACTGAACGTGAATATTGAGTTTATTGAAGCACGAATAGTTTAATTAATTACCAAAAATATACGCGCGGTATCGCTCATAGGCTAATATACGCACGGCTATGAGCGGTAGAAAAGTGTACTAACTATCATATGGCGCGAACGAATTGAATTACATTTCAAAAATTCTAGATACATATATATATAAACACATGTCTTAGCTATAGTCTCTGTAAATTTTAAGTTTATTGAAGCACGATTAGTTTAATTAATTAAAAAGTGTACTAGGCCTATAATATATATTGTAAGCGGGCAAATCCTACGCGATATGAGAAATGATGGCAATGCGGGAACGCAGTCAGGGGAGATGTATAAAGCAGAGACGGGAGAGTAAGCGGTCGACACGGAGATCAAGAGAGCCGTGACTCGAGATGGCGCCGGCTAGCTAGAAGCCGCAGTCACGAAGCCACGAGTTCTTGCGGATTGTGACAAGCCGCTAGACACTGACCAGATGACCCTATTAATATCAGGGGGCCAGAATCGGACTATGGATCCGAGCCAAGTGCGGCAACCGCTTATACCCCACCATATTCGGTAGTGTAAGGTAGCAGTTGTAATACTCCCCCCACCGTATTTAGTATGGCCGGTTGGCCAGAGAAGGGAGCTATAACGAGAGGTGACGTAGGAAAGGGAACGCCATATAAATAGTGGAGAGCAGCCGCTTCTCGGGGCTCTTGTACCAGCCACCCGCTGAGAAAGGTGTAGTGTGTAGTAACCGCTCTTGCTTTCAGTAGTGCACGGATACCTCATGTATTGTATTAGAGATTGAGTAAACACCAGTGAACGTTACTTCTTGTCTTGTTTTATCTCTATCAGTCTATTACAGACCTTCTACTGCGGTAGTGCGAATAACACCCCTACATTGTGGTGCCGTGACCAGGATTCGAACCTGGGTTATTGCGGCCACAACGCAAGGTACTAACTACTATACGATCACGGCCCCTCACCCGGCCGATCGTACCCGATGTGACCGGTGGGCCGGTGAGATGTGCGTACTGGTGGGATTAGACGTGAGGTGTGGGGTGGCGGTGTGGCAGGTATGAACGTTAGGCTTGGTTGAGACGGTGTTACGACAGCGCGAGGTGGTGATGCCGGCCTCACCACAAACGGCTGCCGCAACTCCCTGATCTCAGCCGGACGCTCGCTCGCTCGTGATCGTCCGTTATGACGACAATATTGGCAGGGGCTGCATCCGCAGCACCTGACGCAAATGTAT